TTATGGGCAATACATGGGCATACGAGGAGTATCTAAATATATATATATATACGTGTATATATATAGTTCTATCGAATTTGTAGCATGTGGATTGTGGGATAAGCAGAACAAGCAAATGCCGTGACAGGTCAAACGGGGCTGTCACCTATAAATAAAACGCACAGTTCAGCAATTTTAGACAGACCCAAAGCAAGCTCAAATAAAACCTATCGATTTTGTGAAAGAAAAACCATTTACCTGTCAGCCACACATACACACGCACACACACATACTGGGTACCTTAGTGGTGTAAGTTTTTTTCATTGGGTTAGTTGGTCGCGTTGCCACACACAAATCAACAAATAGATAAAGCCGAACAACAACAAAAACAACTAAAGTTGAACGAACTGGTTGGGAAACTAGTCAAAAATAATAATGCATAAAAATAAACTCGATACGCAGTAATTGGAGAATCACAAGTCAACATTGTTGCCAGCCTCGTCTCGTCTGCGTGATTTTAAGCTGAATTTCCCATCATCCGCTGGCGATGATTCAGAGCATAAATCAAATCGATCGACGTCGTCGTCGTCGTCACCTGGTCACGTACTATAACAAATCGTCAGCGACATTTGCGATAGGCGATTCGAGTTCGAGCTGCTCTGTCGACTTATTCAAATCGATTGATTCGATTCATGTTGCCCCCCACACACACACGCACACCTGCACTATAAACACACAAACTAGAAAATACCCTAGACTAGATGAGGATAGCTTAGTTTCAGTATTTATACTATGAGATTGCCTTGAACATGATCAATTTTAATTTTCTTTCTCTGTTCTCTCCTACATATGCAGCTATATAGTAATATAATAATATTTTATATCTTTACTTTAGACTAGTTTTTAGATCCTTCAAACTGCTTGTTAATCTTAACAACTGATACCACTTTATAGGGCTAGATAAGCTTCTAATGATGTTTAAACAGCTTAAAGTTAATCTCTGTCTCTTACTCTATATATATGTATACTATATATCCGTATAATTTGTATATCATTACTCTATACACGATTTCTTAGAGTATTTCCACTTCATATATTCTCGCGTCTCTTTTAGCTTGGTCTTAACTGTTTTTCGTGCGCTTGAACGGCATCCAAACGGATCGGTAATTGCTATATTTTTTCACTTGATTGCTTACAGTCTCATGTGTGTAAAAAAATTTGAAAAGTCGTTTTGCGGCTCACGTGAGTGACTGACTGACTGACTGAATAGACCACCGCCCCGTGGCTAAAGACATGAACCCGGTTTTCGAGTCAACTGCTTTTTTTTCTGTTCGCAATTGAGCGAATGATTCGATGGTCATTTGTGACAGCTATGCAAAGTAATAATTTGTCTATTTGCCAGTTAGATAAAAATTTTGTGAGAATGTGCGAAATACATATAAATTTATATATTATAAGGCTTAGATATCTTTAAATATGCCTGTCCTTCTCTTCTCTCTGGCCGGATAAGCTGCCTAATTGGGTCATCGCCGTATCTTATCAAGCTGTTTGCCTTTGAAATTGATTTTAGCAACATTTTCTTTGCTTAACTTTTATTTTTTGTTTTCTCTCAGTCAAAGTTCACGCGAGTCGTAAACGAAGCAATTATTCAAGCTCCACGCGAAGCATGTGAGAATAAAAGTTTATAGAACCTTTTTTTTTAAATAAATATTTTAATGACTTCGCCTGAAATTCTCGGCTTGTGGGTGGAGCTCAACATTTCACAATGTTTTCTTTCAAAATTAACATTTCGTCTATCGAACGATAGCAAATTGATAAACTGTTAATTGTGACTCAGTCAGCCAATAAAAAAAAAACAACAAGAAAAAAACCAAGCATGTATCATAATCTATTTCAGGTAGTTTTTAAGGTAAAGTAATATCTGTGGCTGTGGACTTCAGGGAAATTTTGTGCACCTATAAAGTAATTAGTCTTTTAATATCTAAATTTTATTAGTGTTTCTGTATTATTATACTATACTTCTACTAAAATTTCGACTTATTTCTATTTATTTTCTTTGTACCGACAAAATATTTAATATTGAATATTTATTTAGTATTGAATAATGAAACCAATTCAAATAAAAACGATAAAAATAAAAATAAGTCAAATTAAAATAATATTTTGGATGGTTTACCTTATTTTCTTTTAATTATAATAACAATTAATTCTAATAAATTTTTAGCTCGACTAAACTATCAACACTATCTATACAAAAATTATTTTTCAAACATGAATGTGAAAACTAAAACTTTTCTATCATTCTTAGTGCTTATCGAGTTTCATATAATTTAAAGCTTGGTGATCTTATCGAGCGCCCGCTAAATTATGTAACATATGCTTAATATTCTGTTTATGTTCTTTAGAGCTCATTCTTGTTCCAACTATATAATCATAAACAAGCTCACTTCGTAGATCCCACCGTAAAAAAAGACAGCTCATAAATTGTGCAAGGTTGAAAATATTGTCTCTATCTAATCGGACACATTTCGACACCCAAAAACTGCGGGACCGCCATAAAGGTGAAAATGTATGTAAAAAAAAAACAAAAAAAAGAACCCAAAGATAAATATTTAAATATATGGTTAGAATCTGCGCGACTGACTCACGTTTTGGGAAACCTATTCGCAATGGAGATTATAAAAATACATTACAATCAAAATACGTGTAAAACTTGGCGAATTGAGTCATAGAAAAGGCCAGCAAACAAATTTGGCTGGCTCATGTGTTGGGTAGAGTGGGAGCGAGTGAGAGAGTAGATACTGCACTTACCTGACGTTGGCTGTGTTCAGTTATTCTTGTTGTTTTCGTTGCTTTTGCTTCTTTTTTTGTCTGCTGCTGCAGTTGTCGATATTTGTTTTCGTTATGTTTTGGGTTCTTATGCTGGTCTCTCTCCCTCTCTCTTTTGCTCACACACCGTGGTTTTTTCAGATTCCTTTTTTTGCTGCTGCGGCTTGCACACACACGTTTTTGTTTTGCTTGGCTCGTTCGTTTGTGTTTTCACTTTCACAGGTACAATTCTACGTCAGGGGAGAAAGGTTAAGAGAGTGAGAATTGCACTGGATGCTCGCAAAAAACTTTGCTTTTGTTGTTTTTGTAGCTGCTTGTAATTTTTTTTTGTTTGTTAAATTTTTTTTTTTTTCTCGTTGCTTTACAGCAATCACATTGGTGGCTTTTTACACACTAACCGAGCAAATTTACCGCAACTGCGGTGACTACCTTGCGCTGCGAGCGTTAAAAATCAACTGAATTGACGTTATGGCCAGCCCGCCACCGAGACGTGAGCGCGCTTTTGATACCGTTACGGGCGACAGCAAGAGAGGAGTCACGAGCGCCAAAAAGGCGCAAGTATGCGTGCCTATGTATGTTTGCATGGAGACAGCCTTCTCTCACTCTCCCAAACGCGCTGAGTTCATGTGTGCGTGAGTATGTGTGTGGGTGATTTTATTTCGTTTTAATACGTATACATGAACGTTTTTGTGTACCGGCTGATTAGTTTATATCGTGATTATTATTCGGAAAAACCAACATACGTGCATTCTTATTAGAATAAAAATCAAGCTAGCATAGTGAGAATTAAATAAATGACAAATATTTGCAATATTCCGAGAGCTGCTCAAGTGCAACGTTCGCTCTTCACACGTGGTTTTTTATTGCAACTTCACGCAACGTAAAAATTCCCACACACAAGCACAAAAATACCCAAACGGACACCAAAACGTAACACGTCTCAAAAAAACAACAACAACAACAAAACTCGTACGAGTCTCTCTCAGTATCACTTTGTTCTGATTCTCTCAGAACGCGCTCTCACTCTCTTTCGTGTTTTATGCATGTGCGTTGTTGCTGGCTAGGCAGAAGAAACCGTTTGTGCTATTAAAAATTGTTGCTTTTTGTATTATTGTTAGCTTTTAGTTAGCACCTCTCTTTATAAATCATTTCCACTGCAGCAGCAGCCACACAAGATGTTAATTAATATGTTTAACGCTTTTTACTGCTGATAATGGTTAGAATAAAGAACGTAAACAAGCGGGTTTAATAGTTAGCAAAGTTTTGCTCTTTTTATACGCAAAAAAATTAGGCCTCTAGGGACAGTCCAGCAGTTGACAAGTGTGCGTGCGGCCAGGCCTCCATACACAAACACACACACGCATTCACGCACTCGAGCATTGGAAAAGCGATGACACTGTTGGGATTTGGCCTAATTTCCTAAGGTAAAAGTCAAACTGACAATCGCGAACAATTTTTTACCTTTTCGCACCTTTACCGCGTTAACATTATAACTTTTTTTTACTTAGTGTTAAACTTTTTTTAATTATTAAATTTGTTGTAACAAAAATATAATTTGCCCGCGACACAAGCAGATGTAAACTGACTGTTAAATTAACAGACTCTCAGAGAGCGCAACTGTTTCTTAACATTGGCTGAGAGTGATAACAAAAACGGTGACTGCCATCAGTCGAGTAACAGTGCTGTGAATATAAAAAAATAATTAAATAAATAAAGAGCATTAAACAAAATAGTATAGCATTTTGGTATTTATTATTTAAGCATAATGAATACATTTAAGATATATCAAAAATGCTTATGTATTCCGTTGTCATATCAACAGCACGGTTTGCTCTTAAAAATGACGCTAATTCGATAAATGAATTTATCGCTTTATTAGAGTATCATTTGAGTTCGCAGTAAACTGTGCAACACTGTGTAATACAAGCGGGCTATTTAATTTAACTAATACAAAACTAAAAAGAAGCTGTATTCAATTGAAAAAAACCACAAAAGTTGTTCCGTAGAACTCGAATTACTGTAAATAAATGCTGTTGCTGTAAAAATTCGTTCTGTTAAACTATTGTAAATGGCTTAGTCAAACCCACGCACACCTTACCAACACTGTTTGGGCGCGCATTTGAACTGTTCTAAAATTTTACGTAAAATTGAAATATTTGCAAGTTTAGAACTACTTTGAGTCTTATTCTCAGCACTTTTTACATAGTATAATTTGGTATTAAAATATAAATGCAATTTTAATTTCAGGAATTTGCTAATATCATGTTGCACATCTCGTTGTTCTTCTGATTCAAGACAAAAGTGCGACCAGCCGATTTTTGTGTTTGCGTTGAGAGAAAATGTTTGGCGTAGGGTTTCTCAACCGACTGCAGATAAACGGAGCGAGTATTGGATTGGCTGTGGAAGAGATGTATATATAAATATATATTGATAGATGAGAAATTGGCAAGTCGCAATGGTCTTACGTGAGCAACTGTTCGGGTCGCTCCAGCTGCATGCAGAGCTTCATGTCGCTATAGAAGTCTAGATCCGCCTGTAGGCTCAGCTTCGGCTCGTGGCGCAGTTCAATCCGCTGCTCCAGCTTGGCATAGGTGAAGCCTACAGCAAGGTGAGCGACGACTGCGGTGCCAGTGCTGCAAGAGAACGAATTTGGATTTGAGTACAAATGCTTAGATGGTGAATCCCTGATTCCTCTGCTCACTTCTGTTGTATTTCCGTTTGGGCATTACGATTCCACAGACTGAAGTTCACTTTGCCGTTTAGATCGACGCTGCGAGCTCCGAGCACGCGCCAGTGCAGAGTTGCGCCCGACGCCAGGACAATGTATTGTTCGTGATCCTGCGCCAATGTTGTTGCCTGATAGGCTGGCGTCGTATCCGAGGCGCTGCCACCCCACACGTGGCCCATCAGCTCCGTCTGGCCGCTGAAGAAGATCAGCGGACGCAGCTGGGCGCCCTGCACACTGATCTCCATGCCCGCCGTCATTGTTTCCTCATGCTCCGGCTCATCGTCTGGCGGTATCTGATCACTGCCCTCGTCCGCAGCGCTATCGCCCACAAAGGAGCTGAGACCAGCCGTGTAGATGCCCAGCTTAAAGCTGCTCGCCTCGGCGCGTCCTGCGTGCAGCAGGAACTCCACGGAGCCACGCTTCAAAATGCCTTGATACACCTCCTGCGTGCTCAGCAGGGTCTCGTTGAAGGCGGGCGAGCTCGAGAGCTGACGGGTCAGCACTGTGGTGAGGCCTAGAATGGGATAAGCAAAGGGATTAACATCTTATGAATTTGCAACTCTTTGCCTCGGGATTACCTCGTTGCGCCAGGACATTATAGTTGTTGACATGGTCTCGCTGCCTGAGCGCCGTCTGGAACATTGCCCGGAACCTGGGACAAATCTCGGCCAGCATGCGCAGCTTCTGCAACACATAGGTCTTAATCTCAAACTGACGATCCGTGGAGGCCAGGTAATCCAGCAGTTCGCCCAGCTGCTCGGCACTAGGTCGCATGGCCAGCAATATATCCAGGGCCAAGGTGCGCGCAGAGCTGTCGTAGCGGCGCTGTCGCTGATAGAAAATGCTCGCGAACTGGAGACGATGTGGCTCTGCGTAGCTTGAGGCTGGAAAGGATTTGAGTGCCTGCAGAGCAGCCACCGAGTGTTTGGGCTGCTTGGCCTGCAGCGCCTGCTGAAGCAGTGCATCGATGGTCACAGGATCGCGCAGATTCTGCAGGGCGCGCGTATAGAGCAGGGTATTGTGCGTGGAGGCCAATCCTTCGAGCAAATAGTTGCGTATCTGCTGCAGCAGCTGATCGTTGACATCGAGTCCGCTCTGCCGGGTGAGCGTGGCCAGAGTCTGGAGCACGCTGTCCCACAGCTTGACATGCGATTTATGCGGCAATTTCTGCTGCAGAAAGTCGTAGAGATGCTCCAGGATGCGGCGCTCCGGGTGTGTGGCCACGGCCAAGGACTGCAAATACTTTTCGAGCAGCTCCAGCGACTCGGCCGTGGTGCCGGCTCCTTTATAGAAGTGACTGAAGCTGGCATTGTGTGCCTCAAAGGTTTGCACCGCGCCCAACAGATCTGCCAGCTGCGCTGCCAGCTGCGACTGCGACGCCAGCAGCGACTCGAACTCCGGCTGCTTGGTGATGCGCGCCAAAGGCACCAGCTGCACAAAGGTGGTAGCTAGCGAGGATTTGCCCACCTGCTTGCCCTGCAGTTGCTCCAGGTTGCCCTCGACCTGGGATTGGAGCTGAGTTGGAATCTGGTTTCAGTTACTGCAGTTGCATCTTAAGCTGGATTCTTACCGTTTGCTCCTTCAGCTTGCTGATGCTGCCATCCACGTCGGCCTCCAGCTCGAAGACGCGATACCATTCCAGGAGACTTTCAATAGCTGCTGATAGTGTCTCCTGCTGCAGTTGCTCCACCTGTTCAACCTCTGCCACATGTTGCAGCAAGAGCTTGCCACGCACCAGGCTTCCGGCATCGGGCTTAGCTGCGAGTGTCAAGCGATGCGTCTCTAGGGATTCGGCTTTCAGCAGGACTCCCTCGGCGCTCAGCTCGTAGTTTACCTGCTGCTCGGAATGTTGTGCCACGCCCAACGCCTGCTCCGGATGATAGCTGACCCGCAGGTCCCACAGAGCGCAGTCCCGCTTAGTCTTCTCCAAGCGCGTCGAAGATTTCACTTTGTATTCGACCCGGCAATGACCGGAGATGTCCAACTCGGTCTCTGCTTGGCCGCTGCTGTCGCGGCGCAGCTGCAACAGCGAGGCGATGCCGCGTTCCAGATTCAACAGCGACTGATCTCTCGAGGTGTGCGCTATCACCTGCTTAGGCTGACCTTTGACCAGAGCCACATAGAATGGCCTGTCCGGCAGACTGAGTATTGTACGGACTCGCTGCTGCGCCTTCACGTGACTTTCGCTCAACTTTATTTCCAGCAGCTGATCCTCCGCGTCGCTCCAAACGGATCTAATCCTCAGTTGCGACTCAAAGGTGTAGCTCACCTGCTCCACTTCTAGGCTGACTTCACTGGAAAGCTGATACAGCTGCTGAGATCCAGTCGGTATCAAACTGGCTGGAAAGAGTGAGTGGGAGAACGAACACGTCATTAGCAACGGGAAGAACTTTCACATAACGACATCGCAGCTTCCAGTCTAAGCTCAAAAGGTTATCAACAAGTTGCCGTTACTAACAAATCAGCTGTCAGCTCTGCCGCTATGCCGCTCTCCCGCTCTTTTGGAGTCTATGTGTGTGCGTGTGTGTGTGCGTCTCTGTGTGCGGGCGTCTGTTTGTGTGCGTGCATTACAGCAACAAGTTCATTCAACTCCAGCTTTCTACGTGCTTCGCCTGGACAAAAAAATAACAAAACGAATAAAATTCTTCGCAAATTACTCACCAAAGCAGTTGACCAAAGAGAGCAGCAACAGCAGCAACAACGTCGGCAGCGCAGAAAAAGAGTTTCTTCTCTGGTTTTTGATTTTCATTTGCCGGCTTCGCTGCATTTTTTGTTCCGTGGGCTTTTCTACGATAAGAGTACTTTGGCAGGGCGATAATATTTAATGCATTGGTTGATCGGTCTGGCCGCACTTGTTGCTCGCCACAGTTCTAATTCTAATTTAATCTCTCATTAGTTCTAATGGGCGACTGCTGTCTGTGCATTTACATTCAAGAATGGTAGACGCATGTTAAATAACATTCAAATAACAGCTTGGCATATTTCTGTTTAAACTGTAAACGGGCACACTGATGCATCGGTGTGCTGCCGTACTGCTAAAAATAGATATTCAAAATAAAGCCGTTAAGAATTATTTTGATTTATATTTATTTATTTGTTAAAGATTAACCGTAGCTCAAATATTTACAATTGTTTCTTTTGCTCAATAAGAAATACTTCTTTAGCTTATCTCATATCACTGAACTAACGGCTTGTTTGCAGTCGATCAGATAATATATATTTTTACTTTTATCTTTTATTTGTTTTAAAAAAACATTGTTTAATTAACCGCAAAGTCTGTATGCCTAAAAATGTTATATGATGCGGCTTAATGCAAAAGGTAAATATCAGGGAAAAGGCAATATTTTAAGGGAATTATGAGGGAAATATATGGAGACACAAATGCATGGGCACACTGTGAGAAATGTTTTATGAAGTATTCAAATATTACTAAAATGTAGCTTATGAATTAAATTTGTAATTTTTGCAAAAATATTTTAATTATAATGAAAGAATTTTAAATTATTCTGTAAATAAAAATATTAAATTTTAAGAGAAAATAATTTAATAATTCAATGAAATTATTTATTATGCAGCTAATCAGTCAATCATATAGAGCCCATTCAAATTTCTCTCAGTGTGTATGTATGTATAGCGATAAGTGGGGCGGTTCGAACGAACGGACATTGCCCGTTGCGATGGACGCGATGGCAGCAGCTGAGTCAATGCCGGCAACGGTTTATCAGCAGAAAGAGACAGGGACAACAACAACAATTGAGAACAACAACAGCGACTTGAGTGCCCTGACACTTATATGGCAAACATATGTTTCGTTACAAATTGAACGAGCGACCGCAACAACTTTAAATTTAGCTTATCAGTAGCTGCAGCAGATAGCAACAACAACAACAAAGGCTGGCTGGCAGGCAGGCAAACAAACGAAAATTAACAGAACCTAAATTTAAACACGTCTTGCTGCGGTTGAGAACGAGATAGCGCATCAACTCTGTCATGCAGCACTGCGAGGGTGAGAGAGCAAGAGCAAGTGCGATTGAGAGAGCGCGCGTTTCATTAGCTGCAGCTGCAGAGCTGCTCTCTGCGGTCGTTTGGCAAGGTTAACGGTGCGTGTGCTTAGAAGAGGAAGGGACGACGCCGGAAAGTACAAAGTGCAATTGGCATAGGGCGCACAAGTGAAAAGATGTGTAGAGCGGAAAGTAGGTAGGTGACGGGCAGCAGAGTGTGGCCAGACACTGGACAGCTTATACTAAACCAATCGCTGACTTAAGCACTTGGCGGGTGATTTCTATTCTAGAAGAAATCAACGTTGGCATAGTGGGACCAAGTCAAAAGACTTGAAGCGAATATAGAACAGAGTATTAGAGGAAAAACCTATGATTAATTATTTATTTTGGAAACTATATGGCTATAGTAAATATATATTGTTATGTGTACGTATATACAGTACATTATAATACCATTTAACTATGTACGTGGTAAAGGTAATTTATTCTATTACAGTAACATGTAAAATTTCTAAATAACTGCGTCAATTTTAAAATTGAAAAAAAAGCAGCCTTTAAAAAAATAAACGGTATTTTTAATATTGTCATCGATTTGCAATATCATTACAACAAGCAGCTTTTACGCCGTTCCCTCTGCTCGCCGCGCTTCGCTGACCACCTGCGTTCACTGTCAGCGTCGGGTTCGACGGCGACGCCAAGTGTGAACAGGCAAAGGCAAACAAGCAAATAAACAAACAATCGAAGTGCGGACGATGGCTAAAGCGTTGCCGGAGCGTGTGTGTGTGTGTGTGCAGCTTTCGGTCAAGCTTTGCAAAAGGTTACCACACGCGTGAGTGTGTGTGTGTGTGGGAGTGTAAGTGTCTGCAAAAGATAGAAAGAGAACGAAATTGTGCGAGAGCTGTGTGCGTGCGTGTGTGCATAAGTGTTATGTGGTCTGTTGTTGTTATCGCTGCTGCTGCCACTGACCTCTCTGCTTGCAGAGGCAGCGCAAAAGGGAAAGAGAGAGAGAGAGAGCGAGGAGTTGGGGGGAGTTGCCTGTGTAGCTGGCGCAGCAGGAAACAATTAGCTCTAAATAAAATTTCAAAATAAGCAACTGTTTGCGCTTAAATCCGGCACCAAGCGAGGCGTGTGTGCACGCGAGGGCTTTTAGGCCCAACAACACCAATAGCAATAGCAAACAACAACAACAACAGCAGCAGCAGCCATAATCAGCATATAAATAGATAGCATGCTATCACTTAATTACGGTATTTAAATGAGCAACAAATGATATGATAGCATAGTTTGAAGCTTTGCACCAGTGCTGCCTATCGCAAAAATAGGACTCCAAATTTAATGGGAATAGTGGAACATGTCTGAACATGCGAATATGAAAGGTTTGCTATATTGATTATTTTGCTTTAAGGAACTATGTTAAAAATGCTGAACAACTGATATCTAATGATGGAAATGGAAAATGTAATGCTAAGGAAACACTTATTTTGAATTTCTAGTATGCTAGCTAAGTCAGAAAATCGAACGCCGAAATCTATCCGAAAAAAGGCCAATTTGCCAGCACTGCTGTGCTCACGGCCGCGCTGAAAACTGTGCTATAATTTTTTCTATAAAAAAATATATATATAATATATATTTCGATAATTAACAATTGTTCTACTGCCATATATTGACAGGTAGTAATTGAACGAAAATTGAATAAAATTAATTAAAATAACTTAAAGCTAACAATAAGGCAAGCAGTCAAAGGGAATTTATTATATGTATATTTAAGATGATCAATATAAAATTAAAATGATCAAAATAAAATTTAAATAAATACTATAAATTATTTATAAAATAAATTTAAAATTAAAATTAATAAATATTGAAAAAAAAATAGATATAAATTATAAGCATTTTGGGAATGCTCTGAAAAGACGGCCTTTTGCAACTAAACTGTCATTAGACAAGTGCTCAGAAAAGTGTGCTACATTATTGTACATAGATATTTATTGACACTGGTCAACAGGTTTGACAAGACTATCACATTAGCACTGAACACAATCGCGATCAGTCGTTCGACCTGTAAAGACGTGAATTCGAACAGCCTTCGCTTAAGCTCTACTGCTGCAGAGTTCTAAAAATAGAACTTTGCGGTGCATTCTTCAACGCAACAGCAACAAAAACCGCACACGCAGCGTTTTCTTATCGCTTGCTTCCGCGTAACTCAATTGCTTTAATTGCAATTTACGAAATTTCGTCGCTTGGCGCGAGTGCGCCTGCACTCAAAAGCACAATCCGCGATGACATCTAATGTCAATAACCTCGCTACAGCTGTAAAGGTAAATGCAGAAATGCAAGCCCAGCTTAACGTTGTGATGGCAAATAGGCAAGCCTCCATCATGCCAATAAACTCAAAAATAGATATCGCCTCCGTGCAAGGCATCACTAACAACAAAAACACGAAACGTAAACAGCCAAATTCACCAAAAACCATCAAGAAAAGGCTCATCTTCGACGAACCAAGCACCAGCAATGCAGCATTAATATCAGAAAATCGATTTTCACTGCTCGTAGAAGAAGATGAAGACTACAGCGAATCACCTGTAGCTCCAGAAGCCCCAGTATTGACCGACCAGCAAACTACACCGAAACCTCGTCCGCCCCCCATATGGTGTCCAAACATCAAGTCTGTGGCCCTACTTCAACAGATAATAGATAAAGTAATTGATGCTAAATCATACGTAATTAAGCCAAAGAAGAATAACATAGGTGTATTAACCCAATGCAGTGAGGACTATCGCAGAGTTATAGACCACTTTACTAAGCTGGAATTGGAGTTCCACTGCTACCAGCTTAAGGAGGACAAACCATATAGAGTCGTGTTCAAAGGGCTTCACTCCAGCACTGATACAACACTAATTAAAAAGGAATTGGAAACCAAAGGCCACACAATTACAAATGTGCACAACCCACTGAGCCGTATGGACAAAACACCGCTAAATATATTTTTTGTTGACGTGGCTCAGGCCCCCAACAACAAAGAAATTTTGGACATTCGAGTTGTCTGCAGGCAACGCTGCACAGTGGAACTGCCAAGAAGATACAACGACCTGACACAATGCCATCGCTGTCAAGAATTTGGACACACACAACGCTACTGCCACAAAGCTCCCAGATGTGTGCGTTGCGCCGGGAAACACGCATCCAAAGACTGCACCCGCGAAAAGGACCAGGCACCAACTTGTGTGCACTGTGAGTTACAGCACCCAGCCAACTATAAGGGCTGCCAAGTATACAAGCGGTTGCGCAAATTGCAATCCCCAGCACAAAAAAGGAGTCCCACACAAACACCGTCTACGGGTCCGAGTACTGCTTCCGAAATTACAAGGCCCCGGAGCATTACCCAAGCCACGAGCTTTGCAACGCCTATTAGTGGTGTTTCTTACGCACAGGCCGCTAGAGGTGGACCGTCAAATAAGAATACCACAAGTGACACTTTGTTCACTGAAATGCTTCAGCAACAACAACGTCAGTTTGACGCAATTAATGCCGAGCTCAAAGCGATGCGAGAAGTACAATCCCAACAAGCAACCATGCTAAACAGTTTAATGGCCATCATAACCAAGCTTGCCTACAAATAATGGCTTTACGTGTGGGTATCTGGAACGCCAATGGCCTGAGAAACAAGACTCAGGAACTGGCTGCGTTTCTCTCACAAGAAAACATAGATATAATGTTAATAACAGAAACTCATGAGTGCCCCACTACACAAATTTTCGGATACGAACACTATCAGGCTCATGGTGAAGGAGCAAACTGCTTTGGTGGATCCTCAATCCTCATACGAGCAACAATACCGCATACACCTTTACTGCCAATTTGCAACGCAACAATGCAGGTCTCAGCCATCACCCTGCCTACGTCTATTGGAGCGATCGAAGTTGCGTCAATTTA